GGTCCGGAGCGCAAGTGGTGTTTGCCTCCATACCTGTTACAAGCAAGGGTGAAGAGATAAATAGGAAGAGTTTGCAGATTAATATATGGCTATGGGACTGGTGCCAAAGGCAGGGGTTTGGGTTTTTCAGTCATGGGCTGCTATATGAGACACCTGGTTTTCTGGTAGCAGGTGGGATACACCAGTCCCGGGGCGGGAGGAAAGGTTTTTGGGGCAGGAGTTAGCAGGCTCATTGACAGGGCTTTAAACTAGATATGAAGGGGGAAGGGGAGATAACTGGGCCTGTTAGGGACAAGCCCAAGAGAAAGATGCTAGGGCTTGAAGGATGGCGGACTAGGGAGGACTCTCAATCTATTGTGTCATTTGAGGGAAAGGGTAGTTGTTTAAACCCTGTCCTGCAGGGAAAAAAGGGTACCTGGGCAAGAGTTAGCAGAGCTCACTCACAGAGCTTTAGGTTAGATTTGAAGTGCGAGGGGGTTGTAGCTGGGTTTGAACTAGTGGGGCACTGTTCTAGTATGAAGACCAGAAGGCCTCCTGCCTCCCAAGGGTGCCACTAGCGTGCTCTGCTTTCACCCCGAAATGCCTGTACGCCAATGCACGCAGCATGGGGAATAAACAGGAGGAGTTAGAAGTCTGTGTGCGGTCTAAAGGTTATGACCTGGTGGCAATTACAGAGACATGGTGGGGCACAGCTCACGTGACTGGAATGTGGTCATGGATGTCTATGTCCTTTTTAGGAAAGACAGGTCAGCAAAGCGAGGTGGTGGAGTTACTCTTTATGTGAAAGAGCGACTAGAATGTATTGAGTTCTGTCCAGGGGCAGATGAGGAGCAAGTGGAAAGTCTGTGGGTACGAATTAAGGGACAGGCTGGTACAGGTGATACAGTTGTGGGGGTCTATTATAGACCTCCTGGTCAGGACGAAGGAGTTGATGAGGCTTTCTACAGGCAACTGAAAGCAGCCTCACGAGTACATGCTTTGGTCCTCATGGGGGATTTTAACTACCCCGATATTTGCTGGAAGACTTACACAGCCAGTCATTCACAGTCTAGGAGGTTCCTCCAGTGCATTGATGATAACTTCTTAATGCAAATGGTGGACTAACCAACTAGGAGAGGAGCGCTGCTGGATCTGGTACTCACCAATAAGGAGGGTCTGGTTGAAGCGGTCATGGTCAGTGGCAGCCTTGGCTGCAGTGACCATGAGATGGTGGAGTTTAGGATCCTGTGTGGGAGGAATAGAATACCTAGCAAGGCCACATTTCTGGATTTCCGAAGGGCAAACTTTGGCCTCTTCAATCAATTGCTAAGGGAAGTATCATGGGAAAGGGTACTAGGTGGTAAAGGGGCTCAAGATAGTTGGTCAGCATTCAAGGACCATTTCTTCCAAGCTCAGGATCAGAGTATCCCAACGGGTAGGAAGTCAAGTAGGGGAGCCAGGAGACCAGCATGGTTAAACAAGGAACTGCTGGGCAAACTCATGCGGAAAAAGAGAATCTATGGATTATGGAAGGAGGGGCTGGCCACTTGGGATATAGGACAGCTGTTAGAGGATGTAGGGAGGCAATTGGCAATTAGCTAAGGCCTCCTTGGAACTTAATCTTGCAAGTCGGGTTAAGGACAATAGAAAGGGCTTCTTCAAATACATAGCGGATAAAAGTAACACAAGAAGCAGTATAGGCCCACTGCTGAACGAGGTGGGTGCCCTGGAGACAGAGGACATAAAGAAGGCAGAGGTGCTGAATGCCTTCTTTGCCTCTGTCTTTACTCCTGCAGACTCTCCCCAGGGGACCCAGATTCCTACAGCCCCAGAAGGAGTCAGGATAAAGGAGGAGTTTGCTTTGGTGGATGAGGGTTGGGTTAGGGATCAGTTAAGTAATCTGGACATCTATAAATCGATGGGTCCGGATGGAATACACCCGCGGGTGCTGAGGGAGCTGGCAGAGGTCATTGCTGGGCCACTCTCCATCATCTTTGGTAAGTCGTGGGAAACAGGAGAGGTGCCTGAGGATTGGAGGATGGCAAATGTCACACCGGTCTATAAGAAGGGCAAGAAGGAGGACCCGGGTAATTATAGACCGGTCAGCCTTACCTCCATCCCTGGTGAGGTGGATGGAACAACTTATTCTTGACACCATCTCTAGGCATATCAAGGCTGAGGGGGTCATTAAGAGCAGCCAACATGGCTTTACCAAGGGGAAGTCATGTTTGACCAACCTTATAGCCTTCTATGAGCAAGTAACTAGGTGGCTGGATGATGGTAGAGGTAGAGCGGTAGATGTGTTTTTTCTTGATTTCAGTAAGGCATTACGTACTGTCTCCCACAGCATCCTCATAGATAAGCTAAGGAAGTGTGGGCTTGATGATCAGGTAGTGAGGTGGATCAAGAACTGGTTGGAAGGAAGAAGGCAGAGAGTTGTGGTCAATGGGGCAGAATCTAGCTGGAGGTCTGTGACTAGTGGAGTCCCTCAGGGGTTGGTGCTGGGACCAGTGAAGGGGAAAGGGACCTGGGGGTCCTGGTGGATAGGAGGATGACCATGAGCCAGCAATGTGCCCTTGTGGCCAAGAAGGCCAATGGCATCCTAGGGTGCGTTAGAAAGGGTGTGGTTAGTAGGTCAAGAGAGGTTCTCCTCCCCCTCTACTCTGCCTTGGTGAGGCCGCTTCTGGAATATTGTGTCCAGTTCTGGGCCCCACAGTTCCAGAAGGACAGGGAATTGCTTGAAAGAGTCCAGCGCAGAGCCACGGAGATGATTAAGGGAATTCTCTCTTATGAGGAGAGGCTGAGGGAGCTGGGACTCTTTAGCTTGGAGAAGGGGAGACTGAGGGGTGACTTCATCAATGTTTACAAATATGTAAAGGGTGAGGGTCAGGATGATGGAGCTAGGTCTTTTTCAGTGATTTCCAGTGACAGGACAAGGGGCAATGGGTGTAAACTGGAGCATAGGAGGTTCCATGTGAACATCAGGAAAAATTTCTTTACTGTGAGAGTGACAGATCACTGGAACAGGTTGCCCAGGGGGTTGTGGAGTCTCCTACGTTGGAGATATTCAAGGCCCGCCTGGACAAGTTCCTGTGTGATGTACTCTAGGTTACCCTGCTCTTGCAGGAGGGTTGGACTAGATGATCTTTTGAGGTCCCTTCCAACCCTTAGGATTCTGGATTATGTGATTCTGTGATTCTGTGATACTAGTGTGTATCCTTTCTAGAACAGTCTCTTGGTCTTCTATAAGCCATTGTGAACAGACTATTTGTTGGTACACATGGTATCAAAGAGGTCTTATGACCTCAGCGTATCTCCCTGCATGGGATCACCTCAAAAGGTTCAACATGGATTATTTTCTCTGCCCCACCCTCTGCCCCCAGAAACTAAAATCTTATTGTTTGCATAAAAAGCTTCTCTATTTCTGGTGATAATGAATTCTCTCAGCTTGTCAAAAAGCACAGCATTTGTCACATGCTGTAATGTATTCATGACTTCATGGTAACTCCTGAATATGTATCTGACAGCATGAGTGCTCGTAGTACCATGATCTCATCAATTCTAGACATTCCATACAAGAGTATCATCCTCACCAAAACCATGCATACCTATGAATAGATCCAAGAATATAACATAAAGAACACTGTACTAAACTAATGTTAGCAAGGTATTTGCATGCTTATCTTGAGCACCATTGCTCTTTACTCGCCAAATCTACTGGGTTTCATTTAACAGTTGTGTTTTGTGTGTACCCACTGAAATACACTGGAAGATTAATCAGTCCTGGAATTATACCCTGCTGGGAAATACGTGTTTGAGTCACCTCCATGTCCTGTCCCTCTCATGTAACAAATACAAAAGGAAGGCAGAGAACAGAAGCGGCTTCATGATCATTAGACAGACTTAAAAATAGGAACCCTTACATGAAAAAAGAAGGAAAAATACAAAAGGAGAAGTCCAATTAGCCATCCTTACTGAGTAGAACTCACTTTCCATTGCCTTTTTTTCCTAGAGCCTTTTCTACAGATGTAGAAAACAGTATTACCATGTACTTCATCTAAAACTGAAGGAATTTAACCAGTAATCTGATGTTACAGGTACCTACCTGGAAACAGACTCAGAGAAACTTAAAGAGTTTTATGCAATTACTCATTGAATGAAGGAGGCCCAAATTTGCATTTAATACAGGAGTAAGAATAAAAACATAAAAATGAAAAATAGGAGGATTTGAACATAAAATACTTATTTTCTTTGTAGTTTTTTAAAAATCAATATTTAAATGAGCGAAAAAAGAGTCTTATCCTAAAATGTATTGTTTACCTTTAGGGGATAATATGATTTTTTAAGTCATTTTATGAGGAAAAGCACACATTTTTCAATGGCTGTCCCTGCACAGATCATCTCAGAATAATGTTTTCAGGCTTTTTTTTCATTCTTTCATCACTAACAAGAGATACAAAAGATACTGGAGCCAAAGTTAACCTTGCTAAAGTAAAAAACACAGGTGAAATTAGGGAAACCATTTGTCTCTAGGAGAGTGGAGGGAACTCCTTGTAGCTGACATAGAATAGAATCATAGAATAGTTTGGGTTGGAAAGGACCTTAAGATCATCCCGTTCCAACCCCCTGCCATGGGCAGGGACACCTCACACTAAACCAGGTCACCCAAGGCTCTGTCCAACCTGGCCTTGAACACTGCCAGGGATGGAGCATTCACAACTTCCCTGGGCAACCCATTCCAGTGCCTCACCGCCCTCACAGTAAAGAACTTCTTCCTCAGATCGTCCTTAGATCCAATCACATGGTTGTGAGTGATTGAGGAATGTGAAACATGGAAGTGGTGCCCTTGTGAAGTATGTTCCTTAGTTTCTGCACTTAATTCCCAAGTTTATCCAATTTACTGTTTAATTCATGTATTATGCACAAGTAGAAACACAGTGCCATGCTTAATACTGGTTATAGATTCTGTTGTGTCAGAAGTTTCGTGAGTTAAAAAGCATGCAAGAGTGTATGAGAAAAGAGAATTGATAATGGTGCCACGATCCATTATAAAAGCAGCAGCTGTCTATTGTAACATCTTCACATAAAAGGAAGTGAAGACATGGTCCATGTATTAATCACAATTTTGAAACCATGCATATTAGCAATATCACTGAAAACTAACTTTTTAAATACCTGTACAGCAAATGCATGTTTTAGGCATTTTAACAGCAAGAATTATAATAAAAGCTCAAAAAATCCACCATAAAATCACTGTCATAATTCCTTGCAACATGTAATTTTTACTCAATTTAGCCAACAAAAACCACAAAAGTGATACAAATCATCCATGAAAATGTCTGAAATCAAATGACTCATAAAGAGCTGGGATAACATAAGATATTAAAGGGAAGGACAACCTGATCCAGTCCCAACTATCTGAGGAGATGGACACAGCATCTAGTATAGGCTGCTGTCCTCCAAAATCCAGTTCTGCCAAATTACAGTGTTCCTCCGAAGTCCAGTCAGTATTGCAGCAGCTGAAATTCACCTCAAATACTTAACATTTCATATTTAAAAAAATAAAATGGAAGTATTACTGTACACCAAAAAGGATTTGTTACAGCTTTCTTATTCAGCACTTAGAGCATGTGTATCCTTAAACACTTTGCTTCTTTTTTTATGCATTTATAGTTCCGGTGCTCTGTTTCCAAAATCCTCTTTCCATTCTTTCTGACTGCGATAATAAGCCAACGAACTCTCAAAAGATTCATGATTTGACAGAGGGAAAAAGCCTCTTAATTGGTCTGAACTACCTGATTTGCATTAAGTAATTAATTAGCTTTGTAGTCAACCCTGACAGCCCTAAATATTTCAGCAAGCATTCACATAGGCAAAGACTTGCACGATCAGGTCAGTAGTATAACTGACACAAGTTACTTAAAAATAGCATGATGGCAGAAACGATGTATTTGTTCGTGGAGCTACTGTGGGACATACCATAGGTGTTATATTCAAAGGGCTGCAGCCACTTCTGCCTTGATACGGTTGCATGCAATTCTGATACAGCTGCATCCCATACTGAAACCAGAAAATAACATGCTTAGCGTTTTAAATTATAAACCTAAGCCAAGTAAATTGTTTTTCCCAGATGTCATGATAACACATGCTTTTCTTTACCATTAAAACTCAGGGACAACTGCTCTTAGGATAAGGAAATGCACATTATCACCATTGTTGCTGCTGCCTTTATAAACGTACACTCTGCTTTCAATGCTACCCATTTAATACGACAAATGACCTACTCCTATTTTGTCACACATAGACACATTTTAAAAACATACTAAAAACATTCTTGCATATTCCTGTTGTTTTGTTCAATATTACTTAACAACCTCAATGACTTCAACATGGTTGCATATAAGCATATGCTTATAGTTAAGTATTTGCAGGACTGAGGCTTCAAGACATCATCCCATGCCCTACAATGATTTCAGTAATTTGGTCTCCATTTATTGGGTTGAAATACAATAAGCTTTCACATTTCAGAGTACAAAGTTGAGATTGCTATTGCATGGGAACCTAGATGCTCCTCTAGCACACAATATCAAAATTGCACAGAGTAAACCTAAGCAAGAAGTTAACTCCACACAGAAAAATTACCTTAAGCAACCTAATTGCTGTCATCCAACAGGTCCTACTTTGTTCATCATCTGCACAGAGATGTTTCAGGTCTTGGGTTCCTCCTGATTTGTTAGGCTAGAAGGCCACAGAACATTTTTTTAGCATTAATGCATATCTTGAACACAATACCTGTTGAAATAAAAGCCACTAATTCTCCTATTTTATAAGAGACAGCTGAATATTGTTTTCAGAAACCTCAAAGAATCTTCAGCTTACCTAAATATTGTGGTTTACTTTAATATGTATCAGAATAATAAACTTGTACCTTAAAGCAGAATCCATGGTTTGTTGGTGCTCCAGAAATCTTTCTGCCTGTCAAAGACATGTACATATCACTATGGCTGAATTCACAGAAAAACTGCAGATGCCTTGGCTCCTAAAAAGAAGAGCCATGTACTATAGTTAGACTATTTTTAGCCAGCCTCTCCAGAGATATAGTGGTTATCCTGCTCCAAAATAGTCTTAACATACTGTAGTTTTAACACTGACATCATGAAATCTAGAAAGAGACAACTCAGCTTTAATTTCATAATGCAGAGAAAAACCACACCAAATTAGTCAAAGAGTTCATTCTGCCAGAGAGGGAGAAAAACCAAAGTACAAGTGATGACACTTGTGGAAAAACATCCACTAAATTCAAGCCACAATACTATTACAGTAGGAGTCAAGGTTTGAGAGCTGCATGCATTTCAATCAAAATAAAAGGTACTTTCATAACCTGAAAACTGTCCACTCCTCTTTCTAACCATTATCTCCATCCTCTAAGATGAACCAAGTTAAGGAAGAAAACAAAAGAGATTTGCTGAAGGGTACAAAAGCAGCTCAATGATTACTCTGGCAGCGAACGGAGAAAATTCAAAACAAGGAAAAACTTTAAGTGGTTTACGTACAAGGTGTCTCAGCTCCAATGTATCCTGTTTGACATTATCAGGTTTCAAGAACTGCCACCAAAAAGTTGAAGTAGTAAAATGGAAAACTGTACAGTGACAAAACGTGAGAACTCTCAAAATCTTCCTGTAAAATCCCTTTATACACAGGGGTTTTTTATTTTACATCATGAAGTAAGACAACCCCTTTTCAAAGCACCTACTTACACTTCAGCATTTTAACTACCAGTTGAAAATTGATTTTAAAAGAGTACGCTGTTAACTGACTGGAAAAATACTGATCAGAATGAAGCAAAGTTAGGCAAAAAGAAATTACTGTTTCTAAGACAATACTTTTCCAATTTTATATCGCTCTAGATTTTATCTATTATAAACATTTTTTCCTTTTTATCATTAAGTTAAAATTAAAATTTTTGTTATTAGAACAGATTTTAAATACATCCACATTTGCTCTAAGTTCATTATGTTCTCCCCTTTTATTTTCTTCTTTTACCTATGATGTACCTTTAGTGGAAAAATAACGGCCAGATCTTCTCAAAAGAAAGTACAGTTTTTTTCAGGATTTTTTCCCCTGCTCCTTTGCATGCAAATAACCATGAATCTCAGGAGATGTGCTGGAGCTTAGGAACATCTGAAAGGAAACATCACATATGCATTTTTCTTTCCATCTGAAACCAGCTTTCTATTTCACTAACACAGACAGAACTAAAGGGAGTAAACCCCTAAATCCAGTATCACACCACAGTAATTCAATTATGATTGCATCTAATCCCATTAAGAGTACCTCTGACTTAAGAGGTGTAGAATGTTACACAACTCCAATGTATGCTAAGCAAGTTACATATTTATATAGAACGTATGGTTTGAAATGAGAGCATTAGTTATGCAATATGTTGACTTCAGCAACAAAACCAGTGTTAAGAAGTTCTGATCCCATGCCTCAGACCCTATTTATATAAAACTGCAAATGAACGCTACCAACAGATGAAGAAGAAATATAAAAAAAGCTGCCTCTCCTTCCTCCTGTGTTACAAACCAGATAAAGGAACCGATCTGAACTAAAATTAATTCAGCAAAGAAATCACAAAAACTGAATCACAAACCCATGCAGGTCAGGTAGATGTTAACATTTTCAAAAGGAGGAGACAAAGGAGCCACCTGAAGGGGTGCCTGAGCAGGAGCTTTAGGAGCCAAAACCAGAAGCTGGGCCAATCATCGAGACAGCTGCTCAAGATATTCAATGGCTTTGCTTTAGCCATTTCAACCAGACATTGTCAGAGCGCAACACAACTGTTACCTAGCAAGACACTGTTATCTTAGCAAAGAGCAAGTACACAGTTTTACTCAGTCTGCAGGATAAAACTGCAAGTACCCATTAAAAGCTGGCAACCACATTAACTTTATGCTAATTCCATGAAATGCATTATTCATTTTTATTGCTCTTCTTCCACTAAAATTGCTCAGAACAATGACTCGCATCTAAGCATACTAACCTTGAATCCTTCAATTTCCATATATGCAAATGAACCAATGTCATTACTAAGCTCTTCAAGGAAAATTGCTACAGGCTGGTCTGTAGTATCATAAATACTATCTAGACTTATATAGAGGTAAGGAACAAAGGGTTTTTGGGTTGATATCTGCAGTTTCCATTGCTGCATTTTCCTCCTGTACACTGCCACTTCCAGAAAATCTGATTTGAGGACACAAAGCAAAAGTTGATCAGGCAAGAGACAGAATGGCCAGTACAGACTGCAGCAAAATAATGAAATGAATGTGATTTTGGAAGCACACCGAGTTCTTTAGACACTAAATAATGCAGTTCAACCAAGAAACACAAGGTTGCTTTCGCTTCTATTGTTCTCCTGTCTTGCAGTCTAAATTGAGCTGGTGTGAATGCAGTAACATGGGCAGGCTTCACTTGACAGGGGAGCGTCCTAGCTCACAACAAAGAATGCATTATGCATAGCTTCACCGCTAGTCACCTGAACAGTTACATTACAGTAAGACTAGGTACATCTGTCTACAGCGCTGCTGGCACACAGCTGGGTGCAAATGCAGTTTAAGCTATTTCAGCCACACTGAAGCAGAAGGGGAGGTTCTGGTAGGTGTTCCAGCCTGCTAATCTCCCCATTTGCCACCAATGAACAGGTTCACTGGTAGCAAATATAAAGGCTGAGTTGAAGAAGTATTTTAACTCCATAAACAACGTCAAATGGAAGCTTTAGGAAAATCTAAACGAGTCAATCTATGTAAAAAAAGAACAGCACCCTTTTAGGTTTTAGTACCTCTGCTTAACACGAAAGGAGTGCTTGGCTCGCAGCCTGCACAAGTGTCTTTCCCAGGATTTCTGCCATAAGAGCTTCAAACCAGAAGTGCTGTCATGAAGAACACTTTTCTTACTCAGCAGACCAAAGTGGAATACAAAATACAAAGCTCAGCTTCAACAGTCATCGTTGTGCCCATGCTATCAATTACAATAAAGTAGCAATAATGCTAGGAAGAAGGCAATCCCAGACCCATCTTTTTCTTTCTAAGACAGCTGAGGACTGTGTGAGAAAGTACAACCTGAGCAAGCTGAAGTTAAAATTAGTAAATGTCAGAAGGGATGAGCAGTAAAAATATTTCAGAGTCAGAGCTGAATGCAATAAATACCTGAAACTAAAATAGTAGAAAAGATCACTTCTTTGGGATTTTTGTTCTGGCTTGGGTTTGGTAGGGTTTTCTGTTGTTTTGGTTGTTCGTTGGTTGTTTGTTTTTTTTTTTAGTGGAAGTACATGCAAATTTATTACTAGGGGGAATGGCTCCCTGTTCAAACAGATAATAATATACAACTAATATAAGAAAAATAAGAAAAGTCCTTAATATCGTAAGATGAATTGTGGAGAGTTAAATGATGGTATGCTGCAGGCAGGGATTACTGCTCACATGATACACAGAAATAAGCCTGTGCCCTCTCTCCCATGCAGTGAAATACATAACATGATTTGTAGGCTGGTGTCAAATGTCACCATGTCTTTCAGGTAGTAGCATATGACAGCACCAGGGACTCTTTGCTTAGCTGTAAAGCCAACCAATTTAAAACCAATCTGAACAAAAACCAAAGCAAAATAAATGCCTTTTGTTGGTAAAAAAATCAAATCAATCAACAGGGGAAAAAACGCAACAAGAAAAAACATTGCACTGTCTCAGATTAATATAATAATAACAAAAATCAGAAATTCTAGAGGTCACTAAATGCAAGGAAGTTTGAGAGTCATACTCATAACTAGAAACCTTACTTGTGACACCTGCAACATTTTTAATGAAAGACTGGTTGCAGTAGCATAGAAAATATTTGCTAAGGTGGACGCTTCTCAAGCATTACATGCTATTTTCGAGAGTCAAAGAAGCCAACTGTGAATCAAGTTTGACTTTATGACTGATTTCTTCAAAGATGTGACGACAGTTGGCAATGATCCAGCCCAATGCTACTGGGAATGAGCAGGATTTTCCCCTGAACCTGCTGCTAAATTCTAGGGCACCAAGCAGCTCCAGTGAAGAACTGTTACTGACTCTCACTATTGTCTCCTATTGACTTCAGTCAGTCTGAGGGTTTAGACTGGCAGAAAGGCCAGAAAAACCTAGAATGGAAAATGGTGAAAGGCAGACTGGAAAATGCCAAGGAGATTGACAAGAGGCTGAAATTCTGTGCACGGCTATTTCATCCTGAAACCTGGAACAGAATCAGATGGGAAACTGGTTAGGGAAAGAGAGACTTTCTGTGGCAGAATGATTAGAAAAAGAAAGCTTAAATCTTAAATCTGTGAAGGCAGAGAATGAGAACAACTCAGAACATGGGGAAGATGGGCAAGAGATGGCAATAGGGAAGGCCAAAAGGAAAAGTCACTACCAGGAAGTCTACCTTCCACAAAATGGTAAGTGCCTGTCATGGTTTAAGCCCAGCCATAAATCAGAGCCATGCAGTCTCTCTCTCACTCCTCCCCTTCCCCCCCCACTCCCGGAGGGATGGGGAGGAGAATTGAAAGAATGTACCTCCCATGGGTTGAGATAAGAGCAGTCCAGTAACTAAGGTTTAACAGAAATCACTGCTGCTACCACCAGTGATAATAATGATAAGGGAAATAACAAGGGGAGAGAATACAACCACTCACCACCCGCCGACCGATACCCCATCTGACCAAGCAGTGATCTAGTCCTTCTGGGTAACTGCCCCCAGTTTATATAGTGGGCATGACGTGCTGTGGTATGGAATACTTCTTTGGTTAGTTTGGGTCAGGTGTCCTGTTTCTGCTTCTTCCTGCCTTCCCCTCCTCCCTGGCAGGCATGAGACTCAGAAAGTCCTTGGTCAGACTAAACATTACTTAGCAGCAACTAAAAACATCGGTGTTATCTGCGCTGTTCCCAAGCTGAAAGTCAAAACCACAGCGCTTGCACCAGCTACTAAGAAGGAGAAAAATGACTGCTACTGCTGAACCCAGGACAGTGCCTGTCTTGGTAATCCTGCTGTGTCTTTAACTTAATTTTTGCATATATAAAATCTATTTTGTTATGCTTATTTAGGAAAGGCATATGGTCTCTTCTTTAATATATCCTACATCAGGTGCGAGGTTCTTTTTGTTCCTCTGGAAGATAGGTTGGACGTGTGCTGTCTACAATAGTTTATTCTAGTGTATTCACATTATATGTAAAAAGCTATTAGAAAGAAGCAGTGAAATTGGCCAACAGAACTCTGAACTTCAAGTCTACTGACCAAACCTGAATATCAGTTGCATCTATAAACAGTGGGGGGTGGGAGGGGAACAGGTCTATTCTTAAAAACAAAACCAGAAAGAACTGTAATTACCCAAGTAATTTCAATCCTCTATTTTGAAGGTGGCACTGTTAAATTTAGAACACTGACATACTTCATAGTGAAAAAAAATCTGTTCCAAATATAATTAAATATAAAAAACTTCAAAATAAAAAAATTGGAGAAATGTTATTCACAGACAAAAAAAAAACCAAAAAAAAAAAGGAAAAAAGAAAAAAAAAAGAAATCTAGGATAAAATTTTGACCCTTCAAAGGAGTTTAAAAAAAACCCACCAACACTTTATTGACCTCAGTGAGGGTAGGATATCACCTACTAAGGACTCAGTTCTGTCAACACTCTATGCTGTGCAGTCTATTCATTGGAAATGCTGTCGTGACTAAGAGAGGCCTCAGATTAAGAGCTTCATGCTACCTTCCTTTCTGAAATGTTTTTAAGTGTCCAATTTGTAAAAATAACCTACAGCAAGACTTCTAGATGATCCATATGGCCCACCACTAGACATGTACATACAGTGTTGTCTCAGAGAAACCATATTCTAATAAATATGGCTTCTAATTCTAATAGTGACACATTTTTTTTTAGGCTATAGGTCAAACCTCTCTTTGGCACACACAGACATTTGGTATATGTCAGCCCTAGTAATTTTACTTAGCACATGCTAAATGGATAGGTAAACTGGGGGGTTGGTTTGGTTTTGAGGCTATTCAGATGTTCTGACTTAAAGTCATCAGCCAAATTATTTATTTTCAATGAAAGTCGAGAAAAACATACTTGAAAAATATTCTACTTGCTCACCGTTCAATCCACAAAAAACTATAGAAGTATCAGAAGTGATTTTTTAATCATTTGTAAGCACTGAGTTGTTAAAACTAATGTCTCTCTTGATACTTGACCAAGCACATCACAAATGATAACCAAGACTGTTAATTCGTCTTAATGAAAGTTTCCAAGGATATAGCGACTGGTGTGAACGACTGACCCAACAGCTTCTGCTGAAACATGCATGAGGACTGCACAGTTCACAAAGGTATTCTCTGCCTCATGCCTCCTAAGTTTTATTGAACAAAATACAATTAAACAGACAATGCACCATAAAACAGGTATCATATGATGTGGAAAAAAGCTCTGTAACAATAACAATTTGTATCAAAGTTCAATAAGTATAAAACTTCCTGTCTCTTTTGGATGCAAAATTAAAGTTCTGAATGCCCTGCAAGACACTGCAAATTCTCTGATCCAGTAATTCACATTTACCTTACTATCATTCCTAAATTTGTGGCATCTGATATATTATTTTCTGAAAACCTTAAAAATTTTGAGAAAACAACAGCAGTTTCTGGAAGCAAGAGGGTTTTATACACCAGTACTTGGCCCTTAGTTCTGTTTTTCTAGAAGTAACTTCTATTGCTGTTGACATATAAGAGTTGTCTTGGGGTTCAGTGGGCTGCAAAGCAGGGGCAATATACGCCAACATTGTTTTCTATTCCTTCCCTTACACTAGAAACCCAGCTAAATATTTTGGAACAACTTCCATTAATAGAGAATAAGTCCTCTCAGTTTTTATGTAACTATCCACTTTGTGTATGAATATCAGTTAAATCTGACTATATCAACAGGGTATGGTTAAAAAGTCCACATTTAAAGTGTTGATTTCATTATCAAGGAAAGCTCAAGGGGTAATTTATGGACAGACCTGCAGCTGGGGAGTTCAATACAGTCATGCAAATATGAACCAGCTAAGAATCTGGTCATTACTTATGAAGTTTTCTCAAGGTCTGGACAAGTTTGAAGCTAATATTCCCTTGACCATCAAATGTCCAGTGACCTTCATTTTTAATAAAACTGAACTACTGGTAGGGTTGATTCATATCAACAAAGCATCCCTG